TAAAACATTGCTTGAGAACAAATGTTTGCTCTGTAGCATCAGCGACAGCTTCTCAGTGTAATCTTAGATCACGTAAATACATACTGCTTACAATTTAACTATGAAGAGAACACATTCATTCAAACTCAGTTTCTAATTGCTCAGTTTGTTTCTTGGTTCAGAAAAAAATATTGGTGTCAGCAGTCTCCAGCGCAGATTTTTTTCTTTACAGAGTCATTTTTGAAAGCAAAAAACCACCTTTATCCTACCAGGAAAGGAACGTGCGTCCAATAAATAAAAGTGCACATGAATGCTGCATGTGAAAGCAAAAGGCGTATTAGTTATGAGCTCTAATGTTGTTGCCTCTCTGGATGCAGATAAATAATGATGGGAACCATTAAATTTAGGAAAGGCCATCTGGCCTCTGTTCCCCAAAGCTGACTCTGTCTAGTGAGGCCATGTTAGATGGATATACAACATGTACTTTACAACATTGTTTTGTAGAACTTTATACAAGTCTTCATTTTTCTCTTTTCTCTGCTTCCCTCAAACTGACTAAATGTAGGTGTCTGCCGCAGCATCTAAACTCTAGTCGAAAAAAGGGTGAGCCTTATAGCAAAACTGCTCTGAGAATAACTTCTTAACAATTACTGCATCAAAGAGCAATACATCATAATATTTTCTCCTTCTAGTAGCATTTTTTTTCCACACATTTTTACACTTCTCTTAGCCTCTGCTAGACAGGCCTCAAGGGATTAAAATTTTGTGATGAATTCCAGGGTTTCATTTGCTGTACAGTCTGCTGCGGTTAGTGCTCTAAGGCAGTTAAGCATATTTTTTATAGAATCCTTAGAAAAAATTTTCTTTGGAAGAACAAAATGTATTTCAGAGCATTTTTACCTACTATGCATGCCTGTAAAGAAATACAACTTTTTTTTACAAGCATTTTAATTTTCTGAAGTGAAAGGAAATATCAGTCACCAGTTTTTAAAGGCAGGAAGAGGAGCATTACTATGGCAAATAGTAACAATGTAGAAAGTAAGATGACCCTGTGATTACCCTAGCTAAATGAATCCCTTCCTCCTACAGCTCAGAGACTCATAAAACTGGGCAAGACTGGAGCATCTTTCAAGCCTAAACCTCTATCTCTTCAGGGTACAGTTAAGGGAAAATGCTGCAAACCCTGAGGAGCTTTCTTTCCCACATTGATCCCTGCAGAGTGCACATTCCAGTTCTAATAAAGAAGGGTGAGCAAATACAATGCAGTGGATACAGCTGATAGGTTATCTTAGTATCAAACCTGCTACAGAACCATCTCTCTTGGTTGTCTGTCTTGTCATACCTTCTACAGTCTGTATCTACAAGCCTCAGCAAACATATCTGTCTGCAACTATCCTGTCTAATTACTAAGTACATCTTTCTATCAATACAGAAAGCTGCCCTTTCCACTCTTTGTTGTGTTTATTATTTTCCTCATATGCTTTCAGAGTAAGTGATTGCTAAGATCTCCACGGCGCAGGCAGGTGACTGAAACGTAAAGACAATGTGTCCCATCCAAAGTCCGTGTGGGAAGTTGCTAACAGGAAATTGTACCTGGATCTTCTCAGTTCCCAGGCTGAAGTATTAGCCACTTTCTTTCCAAGCACAGATTATTTCTGTCTGGCAGCTGTTGGACTAATACTGCAAGAGGAGCCTCTAGACCCTGGGGAAATACTAAACTGGAAGCTCACATCCTTCTTCAGAGAAATCTCTCCAAGTGTTGCCAGAAATGAAGTCACAAGTACCTTATCTCTGGTCAAATGACCATTTCATTGACAGCAAATTTCAGGTACACTGTAGTGGGATGACTAACTTGCATGTCTCAATCTTATATGAGAAAACATACAACTGAGTTTCATCTTATGGAAATGAGTTTTACATAATTGCCAAAGTAATGCAGGATTTTTGAGGAAAATTTAGTGTCAAGTGTCTCCAGCAATTTAGGATGTCTGATGGTGCACAATCGCTGTAATTAATCACCATCATCTTACAGAATCAGTTCTAATTTGCTGATGCCTTTCCACTAAGAATATATCTGAAGTATCTTTGTATTGCAAATGCATGCCATATTTTTACCCAAAAGCTCAAAGTTAGCAGCCAGTACATAGGATATTTTGTAGGGTGAGGAAGACTAGCTGAGCTTGCTATTCAATTCATACAAATAGCAGAAAGTAAGGCACTAGTTTTGGAACTTGGTCACGACTGCAACCAAAGTACAGCACTAAATAAGATGAAGGACGAGGGTAAGCTGCTGGCCTGGGATTCAGGGGAACCGATTTAATTTATACTCTCTGCCGTGCACTTTGTTTACAATACTGTGCAGATCACTTAACATCTCGGTGCTTTATTTCCCTATCTGTAAAGCAGGGAAGTAAAGGCTATTCAGGCTTTAGGGTTTAGGGATTAAGGGTGGTTTCACTTGGAGCTTCTGATTCGTGGCACAACTTGTACTGGCATGAAAGCTAATATCCCACCAAGGCTGTGAGGAGGATGATGGCAAATGTCTTCCATGAGGAGTCTTTCTTCTGGAATACCCTCCCATGGTTCATCACAGAGTCTCACTTTGAAATTGTAAGACTGACCCATTTTTGCAGGCTTTTGGAGAATGACAGGTTGTAGGGATGTGCTGGTTAATTTTTGCAGGTTGCGGTGTGAGGGGGGAAATATTTCTTATCGTGAGAAATGGATTTTTCCCCCCTCTCTGTAAAAATACTTTGCACTGTAACAAGTGACTCATTAAATAATGAGAAAAATAGACTATCTTATAAGTCCTTCCAAATCTCACCACAAAAGAATTGTTATATTCACTGAACACCTTTCATTAGGATTGCTGAAGACAAACCATCTCTGCTTCTTTGTATCTTCACAAAAGCCTTTAAAAGTGTAGAGTCATATCTGCAGGAAACAACTATTATTAATGAAGCAGCTGGATTTCTTTTTAAATAGGTTACTTTGCAGCCATTTGCTCTGCTAATTATTACCAGAAATGCTGATGATATATCTACAGTGCTTTGGGATGCTGAATATTATCTGAAGTCCTTTTAAAAAACATTTTAGGAGAATAAACCATATCTGAAGTGTGAATTGAAACTGTAAAATAATATACATGGAAACCAGCTGTAGAAATGATTAGCTCACATTTCCCCCCAGCAGCTTTGCCTAAAATATATCTGATGCAATGTGAGAAGTATTGTCTCACAGTAACATCATAATTTTGCTGATGTCAGTTTCTACTAAAGTATCCTAATAAGTAGAAACTATTCTGACAAATAAATGTATATGAAAAATAATTGGAATGTAGATATCATACTAGAGCAATTCAGAGAAAGGTAATTCTCTCTCATGAATTATTTCAGCATTTGGTTTTATCCTCTTCTATGAAATTCTGCACACACACGTGCACATGCACACACAGAGCAGAGTTTCAGGCCCAGGCAAGTCCTCCTGGGGCACTGCTGAAAAATTACAGACCAGGGAAGCCCCAGGTACTCAAATCAGCAGCAGTCTGTCTGCTGCAGATGGATAGAGAGATGAACCAGAAAGGCAAGGGTGTTGATTTTTAAAACCTACCCAGTTTCTAGTAAGAACTTGATGATGTCAGACTCTACAGAAGAATAACTTGGTTTTGAGAGGTCGGCAAACTCTCACCAGAAACTGTGGTGCTGGTGTGTTTCTGACAACATAGCAGATACCTGTCATGTGTCTTGACAAAGCAAAATTAAAAATTTTTTGTGAGAGTTGGTGAAGAAGACAAGAACTGCTAGAGAAAAAATACTATGGAATAATCAAAAGCAAAAGGAATGGAGAAACAACAGAGAAACAATGTTTAGAAATATCTAAGATAATGGCTCTGATGTACTTTCTGGGTAGTATCCTCCATTCCAGATGCTCTTGCGGCTACCTCTTTTCTCAGCTTGCTGTCAAACACATATTCTCTGTATGGCTTTCTCTCCCTCTCCCTGATTTAAGTCTTCCTTCTAAAGTGTTGGCTGTTTTTTCCCTCCCACTTATTCTTTTCTCCTGGCAGTTCCTTCTTCCTGCTACCAAAGCATCCTTGGGTCACCATCATCTAGATTTTCGTGTAAACATGTTCACAGCTCCTCATTGAATACCTCTACTTTGCACTTGGGATACCGTTTCAAACCAGTTCACAAACCCATAGTCCCCCTACACCGCACCCCGACCTTGGCTACAAGCCCAGCTTTACCATTCTGCAAGATGGCAACAGCAAGGCAGCAGGCTACAAAGGGCTGATGTTTACTTTTTAAGACAATTTTGAAATACTTGACAATCAAATTATTCACAGAGGGTCTTATGTCAGTGGGCCTCCAGATCATTTCCAGGGGTTCTGTTAATAAAGAGACCATTTTAGCATAAGTTTAACTTAGGGGAGCGTCATCCTTTCCTTCTACTTTTCTAAGAAAAATCAAATACAATTGTGCCAACATATTATTCATGTTTTATGTCGCTCTTCTTTAATGCTTATTAGTGACCTTTGGGGGTTAACTAATGACAGGACTTTTCACCCTTGAACTGTCTTCTAATTCAATTTGTTAAATGCAAGTAACCATAACTAATTATAAATCAATTACTGAGTCTATTCTACACTTCACGAACCAAAAAAATCATAACAAAGTATTTTTGAAGGTGATTGAGAAGAATTAACGGCTTCCATAAGGCTAGGCATTGGTTTTTCAATTTATCTTTTGCTTCACAAAAACACTATTTTAAATACATTTTGCTAAATATGGGAATGACTTTTGTAAAAGAAATCAATTCTATTCTTAAGTTTAAATCTTCTTTTTTTCCAGCCATGCTCTAACGTATCACTGTACCTCAGAATGTACCCTGGGGAAAATACTTCTATTCTTCACTAAAAATCCATGAATAACATTATGTAGAAATTAATTTATGATAAATGGTTTAAAATCTTAACCTAGAATGGCGTCTTATTCAAATGTCATCAGAAAATGGCACCTCACCCGCAGAAAGGAGTCGAGGGATCCATTCTCCATGTATTCAACTACAATCATTACTGGTCTGCCTGCAAAACAGCAAAGAAACACATTAGGATTATAGACATATTATGGGGCTTTTATAATTCCAGCTGTTACGCACAGATTATTCACAGTAGTTCAATATGTTACATATTTTCAAAACCTTCATTTATATTACAAACACAATTCCCTGTGTTACTCTCTAAGAAATATTTTCTATCTTTTTTTTTTTTGGTACTCAATTAGCTGAATGTGCGTCGTTCGCTCTGGTGTATTCTCCCCTTAAAAAGGATCAGAGAAGAGCCTGCTATTTCCAAATAACAACACTTGCTGTGTAACATTTTGGAATATATTTGAGTTAAGGTAAAAAACCCCATATTCATAAGCCATGTCCAAGAAATTACAAACTCAGTGCCATAATTTTCCTCTCAAAGAAAAATATTTCAATGATTTAGGGGCAAACAGATAGACAGATAGAAGGGGATGTCACAAAAAAGCTCTTCTAGATTGGTTGTGTGTATTGTGTGTGTGTAATCCAGAAAAACTCTGAATTCATATGCTCGTACATACATAATATATATACAATGTTATTCAAATCGAAGTTTTGCTCAACTAGCACAGCTTTCCTGGATGGTTCCAGGGTGGGATCATATCCAAATTGAAGCAGAATAACACATTAGATTTATTTCTTAAAAGAATATCCAAGTCTGAAGATAAACTTTTAAACTGGGTACTTTACTAAATACCATTTCACTGTTGATATCCAGTAATAAACTACCTCTGTAGAACTGCTTGGCAGGAGAGGCCCAATTAACATGCTAATCAGGCTATGCAGCAAGAATTTTTTTAGATTTGTTAATATCACAATGGAGCCATTCTAATATACGCAAAATTAATGTAATGAATAAGTATGTTAGTAAGATTGGGACGGAGGTAAATGGCAAGCATTTCTTACCCCGAAAATGCCAATCTCTCTTGGGGCTTGTGGGAAACCGGGAGTATGCCAAGTGGTGACACCACTTTCTCAATACAACACTAGCTGTTCCAATATTTTTCAAATACAAAGGGAGGCTCTTTCATGACTTTTTCTTTCTCTGCCTCTCAAATAATGTTTGTGTTTTATTGGGATGAGGGGATGAGAAACAGGCAGAGTGTTCAGGGTGATCAAGCGCAGAAGGGCATTATGGTCGTTCCAGCACAATTGTCCATTTCTGTACATGCTAAACTTTCTGTTCAGTTTGGTTAATAGTGGAAATATTTATTAAACTGTCCACAATATACAATAAGCCACAGCCAGGTATCTCTCCTGAGCTGTTTCAGCTAACCTTGAATTTAAAAAAGTGAATGAGCTGTTCATCCCAGCATGTCGACCTGGAGTTCCAGGTACCCCGGTGATGCTCACTCACATAGCTTAGTCTAGTCTTTCTGGGGTTCTTCACAATATTCTCTCACTTCTCCTAATAAAATTTGGGGTTCTTTCTGTATTCACCCTCATGTTTAGGTCCTCAGTGAATAAAACTGCCTTTCATAATGTTGGCACAGTAGTACCTTTTCTCCTGTGTGAAAATTCTCAGATGCCTTAATAGTGTTTTTGGATAGCGTTTCTGAACTGTGAAGAATTACCAGCTTCTTTTTTTTTAATTGAATGTTTGGTCTCAGCTGCAGATGTGCATCTGCCACCAAATCAATTTATATTCATTTGCATCCATTGGTTATACCCTGGTTTTGCATTATAAGCTTACACGATACATCACTTTTAAGCTCTTAGAGATCACAGCATTTTAAAAATTAATATTTTCTTTACTTCAGCTTAATAATGAAGACTAGTTGTATAGCCTAGTATCTTTAGTTTCAAGCACATGAATGACCTAGATTCCCTTACCTTTACCATTTGCTTATTGTCAAGTGGCTGACAACTCCATGGGAAAGGAAAATTCTATAATCTAGAGAAGTAAACAAATGGCAGCCGAATGCTAGAGCATTTTACTATACGCAGAACTTGCTCAAGAAAGTAGTAATTTTTAAAATGTTGCAGACAGCAGCATCTTGCAATAAATAGGGATGTAAAGCTGGCTTTCAGACGGTATATCTGGTTAGGCATAAGCTACCCAGAAATTTATCTTTTTTGCTAAATCAACAAGTAAAACACCTTTATGGAAGATTTGCATTTGAAGGGAATGACAAATGGAGCTAGGGAGCTTCAAAACAGTGCCCCTAGTTTCCTGTTAGTAATCCCTTGGTGCCCTACACTTTCCGGAAGCTACTTTGTAAGGTTCTTCAGAGGTTCATAGGCTCTCGTTAAAATTTTTATGCTCCTTAGATTCATATCCTTCAACACAAATTATTTTCACACTTATTTTGTAAAAGCAACTTTTAATTCTTCTATGTTGTCTCACAAAATATTCCCCCTGCCAAAAAAAAACCCAACAAAGTGTACTTCATTTTGCTCAGACCAACATTATGAGCTTCTAGGCTAAAGTAAATATGAAATGTATCTATATGCATTTATCTGCAGATTTAAAAAAGAGATTTCAGTATTTTTCACTAGCTAAATTTTATGCATTTTTAAACTGCTCGATGTGTTCCTTTAACCACTTGAAATGATATGCCCTAACACAAGACCAGCTGTTCCACATGACAGCACAGGAATAGCATGATCTGTTAAATACACCACAATAAGTAGCATTTGTCTTCAAATAAACATATATTGGACGATCAGTGTATCATTAAGTATTCAGGAATTTTTGGTGAACAATAAATCTAGTCACTTAGGCTGATAACTTCCCACAGACTCAGACTGTATCACTCGCCATCCTACCTAAATCTCAAGTGAACTTGATGCAAGATTGTGTCAAGACACCACAAAAACGAACCCAGCTCCATCACTTTATTACCTTAAGCAAAAGTCTTAAATCTGGATCCTAACACTAACTTCTTAAATAATCTTCTTTTAGTGTGCTAGCACTTGAAAAAGCCATCCTATTTCAGCTGCAAGTTTACTGTATCACTGAAGATATTTATGTATTCCAAGCTGGACTGTGACAGGCAATACAGTGAGACTTTTAGTCAGCACAGGATTTGTCTTTGTCGTACATGCAGATCAAAAATGTCTCAGCTATTGTTTCAGTTGCTTGCAGATACAGTAAAAAACTCTGCTACACAGCAGATTCCAGTGGGTACATTTATCATCAGAGCAGTAACACAGAGGTTCTATTTCCAGCAAACAATTATTTTCCAATAATTTTATAGGTTTGAAAATGTCACACAAGGATCTCTAAACGTTTTACAAATGTAAGTACATCAAGTGTCAGGAAACATAAGGTAGGACTTATCTTGATTTCAAAGGTGTGGTAGGAAAAACGGGTTCTGAAAATCAATTGGCCCTCTCCATCTAGTCAGCACAGCATACCCAACCAGCCTGTGTTTTGTTACCAATACACCATGTTGTATTTTCTTCCCTGGATCAGTACCCTGTAGAGGCACTCGAGTGATTCCATTGTGCGTTCACATTGCATGAACAGACTCTCCAGTTCACAAATGGTGGAAGGAATGGGACTAGCAGTTGGCTCCGGAGAAGCTGGCTGAGACGTGAGGATGAGCAGCTGACTCTGGCACATCCAAGGTTAGACTTCAACATTGGGCGTCTCAGTCCAGAGACCGAGTCACCAGTCCCAAGGGCAGGCAGTGGGACAGACTGGACTGCAATCCGGGATGGCCGGTCTCCAGGGGGTCAGAGGGTGGCAGCCAACCCACGGCTTGTGTAGAATGGAAGTTTTTTGTAAGACAAAAGGTTATGGATGACATTAGTTGATGTTAGTTTCATTTTAGCTGCAAAGAGCAGACATTATCCTTTATACTGCAGTACAATTTGAGTCCAGAAAAAATTAAGGTCTATGCTGAACCCTGTACAAACACAGGATACTGCTTTTGCATTAAAGAGGACTACAAAACTGACTTTTCGAAAAATAACACTGGGAGATTTCTAAACTAGCATAATGTTTGCCTGTCTACAAAAAAAAAGAAAACAGACTATTACTTAAATTATGAAAATCCATGTTGCTCTCATGGTACTAAGAAAAATGAATTCTTCATCCTCCAAATAAGGACAGGTATTAATGAAGGAGGGGGAGGCAGAGAAGTCTCTGAGGGTGAAGCAATCTTTGATTATTTAATCATGGGGTAGGCTGATGCAATTCTGGAAGGCAGTGAAATATTTTCCTGTATTTATGATTGCTTACATGTATGAAACCTTGACATTTTTAGTCAAAGAAACAAGTTCAAGGATAAATAGCAGTGGGAGGTGATACAGACGGGAGTTGGGAAAGCACTCGGGGCTCAGCAGGATGGCACAGGCAGCAGCACCGAGACAGCCGTGCCAGCGCTGCGTGAGCCTGTGACACGTAGCCCCATGGAAGTCTGCACAGGCAGGAGAGCACGCAGCAGAAGGCGCTCCTGTGACCGACAATGAATACTCTCTGCAGCACGGGTGCACCAAACCAGATAGCTGGACACCAGTCTAGTTTAAAGACTTGACCAATTCATCTGAGTGTTTTCACACAGATACATACATAGGCAGTGGAGAAGTATCTGAAGAAGAACCGGGTTAATTTTATAGTCAAGATCCACAGAAGAGAAGATATGGAAAAAAAAAAAACCACTGAAAAAGGTGTCATCGTGGGCTGAGGACTTGAATAAGAGACAGAGGTCAAGATCATCTAGGAGCTAAAAATTGCAGACACTGCTGGAAGAGAGCACAAAACTTCATGTTCGAATTTGGGGAGGACAAAATAGAAAAAGGTTGAAGATGGATTCAAAGATCAAATCAGTCAAACAAATCATTCTTGCAGCAGTTTTAAATACCTAGCAGTACTGAAGTAGAGAGTATCATGAGAAAACAGACTTTTAAAGTAGAGGAATTATATAAAGTGTTCTGAGGCAATAGGTTTTAACCTCAGATATGGATTTTACGCACTATGTATATCACATTCAGCATTTGCAGCACATTCGTGTAACAAACTTGCCATTTTACTATACACTTACAATAACT